CCCGCGGGCTCAGGCAATCCACTCACCTCAGCCTCCCAAAGGCGTGAGATTACAGGCTAAGCCACTGAGCCTGGCTAATCCCCTTTTTAAAGGGTGCGGTGGCTCACATATAATCCCAGCACTTTGGGACATAGAAGTCAGAGGATTGCCAGAGCCCACGGGTTCGAGACCAGCCTGGGCAACTTGGCGAGACCTCATCTCTACAATAAATCACAAAATTAGCTGGGTGTAGTTGCACTTGTCTATAGTTCCGATTACTTGGAAGACTGAGGCTGAAGGAGCACCTGAACCCAGCAGGTCAAGACTGTGGTGGCTGTGAGCATGCCACTGTACTCCAGCCTGGGTGACAGTGAGACTCCAACCCAGAAACTGACTAAGTAAATAAAGTATGATGATGAGTGTTCAGGGTCTGCTTATGAGTGAGAACATGCAGTACTCAGTTTTTTGTTTCAGTGATCGATCACTGAGTATGATAGACTCTAAATCCATCCAAGTTGTTGCCAAGTCCATAATTGTGTCCTCCTTTATGGTTGCATAATATTCCATCGTGTATACGTACCACTTTTTTTTTATGCAATCCACTTTCGGTGGACAGCATGGTTGGTTCCATGTTTTTGCTGCTGTGAAGAGTGCTGCAATAAATGTGTGTGTTGGCATCTTTCTTGTAGAATGACCTGTACTCTGCTGGGTATATTCCTAAAAGAGGGATTGCTGGGTCATATGGAAGATCAGTTTTTAGGTCTTGTAGAAATTGCCACACTTTTCCACTGAGGCTGTGCTAACTTATGCACCCACCGACAGTGTGGAAGCATTTCCTTTTCCCTACAGCCTCTCCAGCATCTGTTGTTTTTTGAGCTGTTAATGATGGCCATCCTGACTGGAGTTAGGTGGTATCGCAGTATGGTTTTGATTTGCATTTCTTGGATGATTAGTGAGGCTGACCATTTTTTCATGTGTCTGTTGGCTCCTGTGTGTCTTCATTTGAGAAGTGTCTGTTCATATCTTTTGCCCAATTGGAAGTGATTAAAATTTTTTTGTATACATTTAACACTTGGCATCTTATTTATTTGTTTATTTTGTTTTTGTTTTTTGGGTTGTGTGTGTGTGTGTGTGTTGGACTCTTACTCTGTCACCCAGACTGGAGTGCAGTGGTACACTCATGGCCACTGTAGCCTCAACCCGCTGGGTTCAGGAGATCCTTTCGATTCACTTCAGTCTTCCAAGTAACTGGAACTACAGATGTGCCCTTTTTTTTTTTTTTTTTATTTGTTGTAGAGATGAGGTCTCGCCAAGTCGCCCAGGCTGATCTCAAACCCCTGGACTCAGGCAGTTCTCTCACCTCCATCTTCCAAAATGCTGGGATTACGGGCAGCATCTTATTTAAGATGCTTATTTAAGTCTCAGAACTTGATAGTATTGTTTTTCTTTATTTTTTTATTTTTATTTTTATTTTTTGAGCTGGAGTCTCATTCTGCCACCCAGACTGGAGTGTAGTGGTCACTCCCGGCCACCGCAGCCTCGACCTGCTGGGCTCCAGTGATCGTTCCACCTCAGCCTTCCGAGTAGCTGGAACTACAAGTGCGCACTACCATGCCCAGCTAATCTTTTGATTTATTGTGGAGATGAGGTCTTACCAAGTTGCGCAGGCGGGTCTCGAACCTGCAGGCTCAGGCAATTCATTCATCTCGGCCTCCCAAAGCGTGGGATTACAGGGTGAGCCACCAAGCCCGGCCAAAAATAGTTTTTCAAATTATAGTTCCAAATATGCTAATGCCCTCTTGATCCCACCTTTCTCTGAGAATAACTGATATTGTCAAGACTAAAAAGTTACATTGCCTGAACTGTCTTCTGTCTTCTTGAGCATTTGATGTTCAGCTCTACCACAGCCTCCTGTCTTTTTTTTTCCCCTTTCCTCCCACTTATTTAAGTCTTCTGTTCTCTTTAAAAGAGTCAACCAGCAAAACTTATATTAGTGGATAAGCAAATGTGTTAGTTTTATGATGAGCCTTTTGATCATGAGGTCTTTCTGGTCCGTGCGTCTTACGCCTTGTGTTTCCTTCATTCTCGTTTCATGACTTCCATTCTCTTCTCTACTTTAGACGAAGGCATGCCATCCACAGTAGTGATTCTACTTCCTCTTCCTCTTCTGAAGATGAACACTTTGAGAGGCGGAGAAAAAGAAGCCGTAGTAGAGCTATCAGTAGGTAAGTGTTGATGCTGTTTTAAAACTGCCAGCTATCTTTTTACTAAAGTGAAGAGAAAAACAGAATAAGTTGGGATTAGCTACAGCCTGGCTCATTAAAAAGTTGTAAAGCAGGTTCATGTGTAAGTCAGAATGCTGTTTTGTTAGAAATACTGGTGTCTACAATTGAAACAAAATAGGTTAGAACATCGTTACATAGCCCACACCATTAATTCTGTAGCTCAAAATGGTGCTTGGGGAACAGTGACTTGAAGAAATAACTGTTTTTTTCATTTCATATATTTTTTTTTCTGCCTGTAATAATACATTCTTTTTTTTTTTTGAGTTCAAGTCTCACTCTGTCACCCAGGCTGGAGTGTCATGGCACGCTCACGGCCACCCCAGTGTCGACCTGCTGAGCTCCAGTGATCCCTCTGCCTCAACCTTCCAAGTAGTCGCAACTGAGCACACTACCATGCCCAGCTAATTCTTTCTTTATTGTAGAGACGAAGTCTCACCAAGTTGCCCAGGCTGATCTTGAACCCATGGGCTCAGGCAATCCACTCACCTTGAAAGTGCTGGGATGACAGGCTGAGCCACCGAGCCCAGCCAATAATACATTTCTTACTGAGACCAAAAAAAGAATTTTAAATATCTCAATTTTTAAAAATAACTGTTGAAATAATAATGCTTTGAATATATTAAGATAAATAAAACATATTCCACTTTTTTGTCTAATGTGGCTAACAGAAAATTTTATTTTATTTTTTTGTTTTTTGAGTTGGAGTCTCACTCTGTCGCCCAGACTGGAGTGCAGTGACTGCTCCCTGCCACCACAGCTCGACCTGCTGGGCTCCAGCAATCCTTTCGCCTCAGTCTTCCAAGTAGCTGGAATTACAGGCGCACACTACACTCGGCTAATTTTTTGATTTATTATAGAGATGAGGTCTCACCAAGTTGCCCAGGCAGGTCTTGAACCCACAGGCTCAGGCAATTAACTCACCTCGGCTTCCCAGAGCGTGGGATTACAGGCGAGCCACCGAGCCTGGCTAGAAAATTTTAAATTACATCTGTGGCTTGAATTTTATGTCTGCTGGACAGCAGTGAGTTTGATCATCTAAAAGTTATCTACTTGGGCTACTTGAATTTTTCTTTGCCTTCGTTCTTAGAAATGTGCATCTAATGTTGTGTATTTTATATTATGCAGTTATATATTTTTTCAATAACTTTTAAGAAATACCTTTAAGAAGCAGCAATTGGCTGGGCATGGTGGCTCACACCTATAATCCTATCACTTTGGGAGGCCCGAGTGAGAGAATTGCCTGAGCCTGCAGGTTCGAGACCAACCTGGGCAACTTCATGAGACCCACTCTGTATAATAAATCAAAAAATTAACTGGACGTGGTGGCGTGTACCTGTAGTTCCAGCTACTTGGAAGGCTGAGGCGGAAGGATCACCTGAGCCCAGCAGGTCAAGGCTGCGGTGGCCGTGAGTGTGCTGCTGCACTCCAGCCTGGGCAACAGAGATTCCAACTCAAAAAAAAGAAGCAGCAATTGAGTACTGCTCTATCTTAGATTCCACAGGATGCATTTCTTGTGGAGTTTGGGAGTAGTGGAAATTGTCATTTAGGGTGAGCATGGCATTTTTTTGTTTGTTTGTTTTTGTTTTGAGTTGTAGACTAAGGTGATTCTTCTGCCTCAGCCTTACAAGTAGCTGGAACCACAGGCACATGCCTTCATGCCTGTCTAACATGATGTGCTTTTACCTGTATTCAGTCGTAGTAATTATTCTTCAGTTGACATTGGTACACGTATCTCCTTCTGACATAAGCACTTTTCACTTTTCCATGTATAATAAGTAGGTTCTTCTACGTATATTCTTTGTAATCTACCATAACTGTTTTTGAAATATTTACAGATATTTCACTGAGAGGTATTATAGTAGAGTTTGTTACAGATCCGGAGACAGACTGCTTGTATTTTATTCCTGGCTCTGCCATTTACTAGTTAAGTGACCTTGGGCAAATTAGTTCATCTTTCAATGTCTTGGTTGTCTTTTAAAATGGGGAAAATATACTTACTTCATAAGACTGTTGTGAGGATTTAGTGATTACTTAATGCATGGAGCACTCAAAACAGTCTCTACAAATAGCGAAGACTGTATTAATCACATCCATCATCACGTATGTTGGTAGTGTCTGAATTCTCTACTCTGGTATTTGTGGTGTCTCGATAGCCTGATATTTTCATTTGAGTGTATTTTCTTAATAATATTTTCAAATTTAAATATTTCTAACTCTTAAGTTCTGAATCTATAAAGAAGATAAAAGTATTGAATTGCCTAATATCAAGATTGCTCCAGTTGAAATTTAAATTTTTTTTTTCCTGGCTGGTGTGGTAGCTCATGCATGTAATTCTAGCACTTGGGAGACAGATGGGAGGATTGCTTGAGCCCAGGAGTTCAAGCCTAGCCTAGGCCAGGCTTGGTGGCTCAGTCTGGCTCAGGGAGGCTGAGGCGAATTGATTGCCTGAGCCTGTGGGTTCAAGACCAACCCCGGCAACTTGGCCAGACCTCATCTCTACAATAAATAAAAAATTAGCCAGGTGTGGTAGCATGTGCCTGTAGTTCTGGCTACTTGGAAGGCTGAAGTGGAAGGGTCGCTAGAGCCCAGAAGGTCGACGCTGGGGTGCCTGTGAGTGTGCCACTGCACTCCAGCCTGGGCGGTAGAGTGAGACTCCAACTCCAAACAAAAAAAAAGACTAACCTAGGTAACATGGTAACATAACTCGGTCCCAACTACTCAGGAGGCTTGAGGTGGAAGGATCACTTGAGCTCAGGAAGTCGAGGCTGCAATGAACTGTGATCATTCCACTGCACTCCAGCCTGTGCGACAGAGTGAGACCCAGATTACAAATAAAAAATATTTTTTTCATTCTTCAGAAAAATGTTTATATTTGAACACGGAATCTGGGAAGGAGGCTGAGTTGATCAGTGTATTTTTTTTTTTTTAATCTTTTAAATAGGTGCCTCCCGCTAAATTTTCGGAAAGACGAATTAAAAGGCATTTATAAAGATCGAATGAAAATTGGAGCAAGCCTTGCTGATGTTGACCCAATGCACCTAGATTCCTCAGTGAGTACTGTTTTGGGACATATGCTTGAATGACACTATTGTTCTTTAGTTTAAAGTTGAAAAAGAGACCAGTAATTTTTTTAAAATCAGAAACTTTAACAATTACAAACTTTTTCTTTTAAGTTTTTTTCAGGTCACAGCTAAAATAGTATTATTCATTTGATTGTGTATGGTTTGGTATAGTTTACATATGGGGTGACATTTTAATTTGGATTCCAAATCTAAGCATGTTAGTGTTCACTTTCATTACTAGGTACGATTTGATAGTGTTGGTGGCCTGTCCAATCATATTGCTGCTCTAAAAGAGATGGTGGTGTTTCCATTACTTTATCCAGAAGTCTTTGAAAAATTCAAAATTCAACCTCCAAGGTAATTAATTATATTTTTAATTTTAGTCAAAATCTGTTCTGTGCTCCTATTGCTTCTTTTGGCTCTTATGTCTTACTTTTTAACCCATTTTTGAGCCTTAGTCTCTGATTCCTTTTTCATTATATAACTTCTCTGTCTGAATTACCCATGTGGAAACAGTGATTTAAATACACTTTTCGGCCTGGGTGTGGTGGCTCACTCATATAATCCCAGCACTTTGGGAAGCAGTGGTGAGAGGATTGCTTGAGCCCAAGAGTTGGAGACCAGCCTGGGCAGCATAGTGAGACCTCGTCTCTACAAAAAAAAAAATTTAGCGAGGCATGGTGGCATATGCCTGTAGTCCCAGCTACTAAAGAGTCTGAGGCAGAAGGATTGCCTGAGTTCCAGAGTGTGAGGCTGTGGTGAGCCATAACTGTGCCACTGCACTCTAGCCTGGGCAACAGAGTAAGACAGTCAACTCAAATAAAAATACATAAACTTTTTAAAATTAGTGAACTGTTTTTCTCATCATAAAAATAATATACCATAAATCACAGTTAAACATTAGGTTTTAAATTGTGCTTTGTGGCATGAAACTATACGGTATTTCATTTGTCTTGTATCTTTTTAGTCACTAAGTGATCATGAAATTGGTGTCTAATTTTTGTCTAAATCGTGTGCTTTGTAAATGTAGTACTGAAATATTTAACGTCTTACTTTACAGAGGTTGTTTGTTTTATGGTCCACCTGGAACTGGAAAGACCCTGGTTGCTAGAGCGCTGGCCAATGAGTGCAGTCAAGGGGATAAAAGAGTGGCGTTTTTCATGAGGAAAGGTGCTGATTGTCTAAGTAAATGGGTAGGGGAATCTGAAAGACAGCTACGATTGCTGTTTGATCAGGTATGATATTAAAATGTACTTACAGTTCTGTTATCTCTGTATGTCTGTAAGAAGAATATAAATCTTACATTTCGTCACTTTTTGTAGAAGTAAACTCAGAAGAATTAGACCAAATATGTAATCTTTCTAGACTATTCTCTCTGTATGTCAAGATAACACTGGCCTATGGTGAACAGTTGTATAATAAGAAGGGAAAGGAACAAATGGATCTTAGGTCTCATACCTAGAGAGGGAGTGGTAGCGTCATATTTAGAAAGAGAGTGATGAATTATGTCTCAGTACGGGAGTTGAAGATGAACTGCCCTACAGTAGGTTTCACTTTCATATCTCACAGTGGATGGGCAGCACTTGTTGAGATCATGCCTTCTGCTCTGTCTAGGAATATTGCCGCAGATGCTCTTAAACTTACTCCTTTTGGAATTCTCTGAGGTTCTTTTTTTTTTTTTGGAGTTGGAGTTGGAGTCTCACTCTGTCACTTAGACTGGAATGCAGTGGCTGCTCCCGGCCACCACAGCCTCAACCTGCTGGGCTCCGGCGATCCTTCCACCTCAGCCTTCTGAGTAGCCGGAATTACAGGCGGACACTACCACGCCCGGCTAATTTTTTTTTATTTATTGTAGAGATGAGGTCTCGCCAAATTGCCCGGGCGGGTCCCAAACCCGCGGGCTTAGGCAATCTACTCACCTCAGCCTCCCAAAGCGCGGGATTACAGGCTGAGCCAACAGGCCCAGCTCTTTTTTTTTTTTAATGTTTACTCAAATACATAAAAACTACGACATGTTGCTAAATAGTGTTTCTCCGTTCTGACATGGAAAAAGACTATGTCATTGTCTTCTGTTCTTTGTCCTGTTTCCATAGTAATCCTTAATAGGTGTATATGTGTCAGGAGCTATAGTTATATGAAATCTAAGGTGTATTACCAGTGAAATACGTACCTAGTGTGTCCCAAAAAGTATATACACATTTTATGCAATATTATTTATATATTACTTTTCAAAGTTAAATTGAATTAATGGTAGCAGTGTGTAGTATGACGTTCACTCAAAAGATGGCATTAGTCAAATGAATGCTAGCATCACCACACAACAGATAGCACAGTCAAAGAAAATGGGAAACAGTTGTCTTTCGAGGAGGCAAGACTGTTTTGAAGTGGTATTCATGAACCTTGTGGAAGTACGACAACTTTGGAGATGTGACTAGTCACCAGAGCCTCCAGCACTCCTGACAACTGCACGCATTAGTGATAAGTTTGAGGCACATGGTGCTGTGTGTGATGTGCACGAGGGAAGAGCCGGGAGGCCTCACCCAGCAACAAACCCTGCAGTAGTTCGCCACAATCAGAAGTGTCTGGGCCGGGCTCGGTGGCTCAGCCTGCAATCCCGCGCTTTGGGAGGCCGAGGTGAGTGAATTGCCTGAGCCCGCGAGTTTGAGACCTGCCTGGGCAACTTGGCGAGACCTCATCTCTACGATAAATCAAAAAAAATTAGCTGGGCGTGGTAGCACGTTCCTGTAGTTCCAGCTACTTGGAAGGCTGAGGCAGAAGGATCGCCGGAGCCCAACGGGTCGATGCTGCAGTGACCGGGAGTGGCCACTGCACTCCAATCTGGGCGACAGAGTGAGACTCCAACTCAAAAAAAAAGTATCTGGATGCTGATGGAAACCACTTTGAGCACCTCTTATGATTGAAGAAGTCAAACGTGACTTGTATTCATGTTTTTTTATCGTATTGAGTATTACAATTTTAATATAATTTTTTTCATTTTTAAAAATATGTATACATTTGTTTGGCACCCTCTGTATCTTGAATACTTCTAGTTGAAATTGCAAATAAGGCTGTGTGTGGTGACTCAAGCCTGTAATCCCAGGCCTTCGGGAGGCTGAAATGAGAGGATTGCCTGAGCTCAGTGAGTGGTTCGAGACCAGCCTGGGCAATTTGGCGAGGCCTTGTGTCTCTCCAAAAAATTAGCAGGGAGTGGTGGCACTCACCTGTAGTTAGCTACTTGGAAGGCTGAGGCAGAAGGATTGCCTGATCTGTGAGTGTGCCACTGCACTCCAGCCTGGGCAACAGAGTGAGACTCCAACTAAAAAAAGAAAAGAAAATGCAATTAAAAATTAAACTGTATTTCATTATAGTTTAGTGTGAATTCTTAAAACACAATTCATAGAAATTGCATTTAAATTTACACTTTATAAATATTTGTAAGTGCCGGTAAACAAGTGTGAATGAAAATGGTTTTTGGTAAGTCGTCTTTGAGGCTTTTTATGATAACATGCTACCACTGAACCTGCTTTCTAGGCTTACCAGATGCGCCCATCAATTATTTTCTTTGATGAAATCGATGGTCTGGCTCCAGTTCGGTCAAGCAGGCAAGATCAAATTCACAGGTAAAAATTGCTTGTTAGCGTTTCAGCCTTTATTCTGAGCTCTGTTGATGTATATGAGAGATAAAATATTAAACAGTGAAAGAAACTTTTTAAGCTAGCAGTTCCCATTTTTGATAGTAGAACCCCAACACATAGTACAAAAAGAAACTGTGAAACTGTTCTGAGTGTCAGGGTGTTCTAAGGCATGGTTTAAAAATCTTGGTCATGACTGGGCTCAGTAACTCAGCCTGTAATCCCAACACTTTGGGAGGCCGAGGCAAGTGGATTGCCTGTGCCTGCAGGTTCGAGACAAGCCCAGACAACTTGGTGAGACCTCTTCTCTTCAATAAATAAAAAATTAGCCGGATGCGGTAGCGTGGACTTGTAGTTCTGGCTACTTGGAAGGCTGAGGCGGAAGGATCGCTGGAGCTCAGCAAATCGAGGCTGGGGTGGCCATGAGTGTGCCACTGCACTCCATCCTGGGCGACGGAGTGAGACTCCAACTCAAAAAAAAAAAAAAATACTGGTCAGAGAAGATTGAACTCATGATAAAGACAGATGTCCGCAGGTCAGTGAGGTGAGGCAGGCCAGTGGGAGAGTGGTGCTGGTGGGGGAGTGTGACTGAGTGTCCTATCACGAGAACAGGGCCAGGGAATTTTTTTTTTTTTTTTTTTTTTTTTTTGCTCCAACTTTTTTGTGATCCAGACTTGAAAAATCTACCTTTTTCTTCAAGTTTTATGTTAAATACATCAAGTTTTGCCAACCAACTTGGATGCTTTTAAGACATTGCCTGGGCTAAACAAAACATAACTTAGGACATTACTCCTAGCTTAAGATTCTAATGTGGGCCCTACCTCCTCATTCTAATAAAGGTAGAAATAACTGCACCCCATGAATAGTTGCTTATCCACAGGAGCACTTGTCCTAGTGCTGTGATTCCAACTTGAATCTCAGTTACTTTTAGCCCCAGGTCATCTTCAGGTTCCCAGAGCTTCTGTTCAGATGGTCTCACGAATCAGGTGAACTGCTAGTTATCCGGGGGTACCTAAAGGAAATACCGGCATGCCTTTGTGTGTGCCAGCATTGCTTCATACGGTATAGATGGTATAGAAGGGTGACAAGGCGCAGTGTGTGGCTGACAGGTCAGTCTTGACTGTCCTGACATCCAGCAATACTTACGTGCTCTAGTGGCCTTTTCCAGTTGATGACAGACAGCTTCATTTACTGCTCTGAGTAAAATAAAATATGTACTAAGTACTGTGATAGAAATCGTTTTATCTGTGAATGTCTACTAGTAAGTATACAAACTTTGTATATGACATGGTTCATTATCAGCCACACTATGCTCACTTGAGTACTTTATTTTGGGACAGTTCTAAAGGTATTATAGGAGTTTTAGCAAGAAAAAAATTGTAGAATAATTGTAGCATGCAAAATTATGCCATCTCAAATATTTGTTTGTTTTTTACTTATTTATTTATTTTGAGTCAGAATCTCACTCTGTTGCCCAGGCTGGAGTGCAATGCCAGCTCACAGCCACTGTAGCTGGGTTCAGGTGATCCTTCTACCTCATCTTTCCAAGTAGCTGGAACTACAGGCACGTGCCACTACACCTGGCTAATTTTTTATTATTGTAGAGATGGGGTCCCTCCAGGTTGCCCAAGCTGGTCTCAAACCCATGGACTCAGACAGTCCTTTCACTTTTGCCTCCCAAAGTGCTGAGATTATAGATGTAAGCCACCATCCCCAGCCAAATATATGCTTTTTTTCTTTTTTTTTTTTTTTTTTGAGTCAGTGTCTCACTCCATCATCCAGGCTGAAGTACAAAGGTATGCTCATGGCCACCCCAGCATCAACCTGCTGGACTCTGGTGATCCTTCTGTCTCAGCCTTCCAAGTAGCTGGAGCTACAGGCACGAGCTACCACGCTTGGCTATTTTTTTTTTTTAAATTTATTGTAGAGATGAGGTCTCACCAAGTTGCCCAGGCTGGGTGCATTTTTAAGAGAAATGCAGTATTCAAGTTTCTTTTTTAAAGTTCTGACAGAGTAAGAGTAAATATTTGTGTTAAATTAAGCTTTTCTAGAATTTAGTACATTGAAGATTATTAAACTATATTCACCTAATAATATTGTAGAGTAATGCAAAGAAGCAATTACATGAATATCATTAGGAAATAATATTTTCAGCTTAAAAGAAAGAGGATATAAATATAAAATAAAGTCAAATTAAAACCCTAAAATCTTAACTTTGAATTGGAAGTACCAACATGAGCTCATGATTTTTTTTTTTTTCTTAAGAATCCTTAATTCTGGACACTTAGAAAGGTCTGGAAACAACCACAGTCTAATAGCACTGAGGATCCATAGTCCCCTGTCTGTGATCTCTCAATGCTAGGACTCAGGAGAGATGGCAGATAACAGCACAGGAGCAGGGCACAAGCCAGATAAGCCTGGACCATCTCGTAACACCTGAAAGCAAGAATGCAGTCCAAGAATGTCGGAATCATGTTACAATGACTTAGAAGCCTGTTTTGAAGGGACTCTCACAGGCAAAAGATCAGATAATTTGAGCATCAAAAATAATGCTCACAGTAGATTGAAATGCATCAAATACGTAAGATTATAAGGGTTTTTTGTTTGTTTTAAAGTGGGTCAGGGACTCTCACTCTGTTGTCCAGGCTAGAGTGCAGTGATGCAATCACAGCTAACCTCAGCCTCTACCTCTTGGTCTCAGGCAGTCCTTTCACCTCAGCCTCCTGAATAGCTGGGACTCCAGGTGTGTGCCACCAAACCCAGCTCTTTTTTTTTTTTTTTTTTTTTTTTAATAGTGAAGGCCAGCCGGGCTCGGTGGCTCAGCCTGTAATCCCGCGCCTTTGGGAGGTTGAAGTGAGTGGATTGCCTGAGCCCGCGGGTTCGAGACCCACCTGGGCAGCGAGACCTCATCTCTACAATAAATCAAAAAAAGTTAGCCGGGCGTGGTAGCGTGCGCCTGTAATTCCGGCTACTGGGAAGGCTGAGGCGGGAGGATTGCCGGAGCCCAGCAGGTCGAGGCTGCGGTGACTGGGCGCGGCCACTGCACTCCAGTCTGGGCGACAGAGTGAGACTCAAAATCAAAAAAAAAAAAAAAGAGTCAAGGCCTCACTTTGTCTTCTAGGCTGGTCTCGAACTCCTGGGCTAAAACAGTCCTCCTACCTCTGCCTCCCGAAGTACTGGGATTATAGGTGTGCGCCACTGCACCTGAAAACGATCAGTTTTTAATGATGGTCGATTTTTTTTGGGAGGGTTGGAGTCTCACTCTGTCGCCCAGATTGGAGTGCAGTGGCCGCTCCCGGCCACCGCAACCTCGACCTGCTGGGCTCCGGCGATCCTTCTGCCTCAGCCTTCCCAGTAGCCGGAATTACAGGCGTGCGCTACCACTCCCGGCTGATTTTTTTTTATTATTTATTGTAGAGATGAGGTCTTGCCAAGTTGCCCAGTCGGGTCTCGAACCCGCGGGCTCAGGCAATCCACTCACCTCAGCCTCCCAAAAGCGCGGGATTACAGGCTGAGCCACTGAACCCGGCTCGATTTTTTTTTTTTTTTTTTATGTTAATTGGCTTCTCAAAGGTTCTAAGTCGTGACTTGTTACTCTGAAAATTGAAAATGGGAAAGAGTTGAACATTTCTTCCTGACCTGTGCAGTTCAGTAATTCCGTGGTTGAGGAAGCAATGTAGTTCTGTGTAGGAAAGTCACAGCTAATAAATGCAAAAGGAATGACTGACTTAGAAAACCACCATTTCTTCCTGACCTGTGCAGTTCAGTAATTCCGTGGTTGAGGAAGCAATGTAGTTCTCTGTAGGAAAGTCACAGCTAATAAATGCAAAAGGAGTGACTGACTTAGAAAACCACCATTTTGCAGCCTCTTATGAAATAGTGAATCTAGACCTGTGGGTTTTTTTTTTTTCTTGACTTTGTTTGTTTTTTGAGTCTCCCTCTGTCACCCAGGCTGGAGTATAGTGGCACACTCATAGCCACTGTAGCCTCGACCTGCTAGGCTCAGGCAGTGCTTCTGTCTCAGCCTAAGTTAGCTGGAACCACAGGTGCGAGTCACCATACATGGCTAATTTTTTGATTTATTGTAGAGATGAGGTCTGGCCAAGTTGCCCAGGGTAGTCTCAAAGCCCTGGTCTCAGGTAATCCTCTCACCTTGGCCTCCCTAAATCCTGGGATTACAGGCTTCACCTACTGTGCCCACCCTGACCTGTGGTTCTTAACCAAGGGTGTTTCCTACACTCCACCCCAGGACAAATATCCGAAGACAATTTTGGTTGTCACAGCTGTTGAGGTAGGCTACTCGGATCTAATGGATGGGGGCCAGAGAAGCTGTAAAACATTCTCCACACATACAGGGCAGCTCTCCACAACAAGTAGTTGTCTGGCCCAAAATATCAGTCGTGCTGAGATCGAGTGCTTGCTCTAAACGTAATTATCAAAGACTTTTCAAGCTGTTAGGAAAAAGATTGGTAGGGAAATTTATGATGAGTGGAGCAAGCTGGTAACACCCCTCCTAAACCCAACCCACAGATTGAGCTTAAATGGGAAACTAGTGTTATTAACACATGCCTCCCGCAATGATACATTAGAAGATACATGGTATCTTCCTACAACATCGGCTGTCAAACAGTTGGACCTGTGTCTGTTAATCTAGATCTGGCTGCCAGTTTACAGGAAATAAAAATTATAGAGGGACAGTTGAGGTGACCCCATGAGGAAGCAAGTGACACAGTCTAGAATGTGGGAGGAAATTCTACAGGACAGGACGAATGACCCAGTTTCTTCAACAAACAAATGGCCCAGAGGGGAAAAAGTGAGGGTCACAGTGGGAGTTCCCAAGGATCCGGGGGACAGATGACCATGTACAGTACATGGAACTTGTTTTTACTGAGTCGAACAAATCAGACATGAAAAGGTACTTTGGGGCAATCAGGAAAACTACATACTAGATATTAGAGAATTATGTTAATTTACATTGGGGTAAGGGTATTGTGGGGTTTTTTAAATGCCCTTATCTCTTAGAAATAGATGAAATAGCCTGGCACGGTGGCTCAAGCCTGTAATTCCAGCACTTTGGGAGGCTGAGATGAGAGGATTGCCTGAGCCCACGGGTTTGAAACCAGCATAGGCAATTTGGCGAGACCTCATCTCTACAGTAAATCAAAAAATTAGCCGGGCTTGATAGCACACGTCTGTAGTTCCAGCTACTTGGAAGATTGAAGTGGAAGGCTCGCCTGTGCCCAGCAGGTCAGCACTAGGGTGGTTGTGAGCGTGCCACTGCACTCCAGCCTGGGCAACTAAGTGATACTCCAACTCAAAAAAAAAAAAAAATTCATGAAATACTTGTGGATTAAACTGTGTATGGGGTTTTGTGTTTTGTTTTGTTTCCTTTTCTTTTTTAAAGTGACTGAATGGAGACATTATAAAAGGAATACTGATGACTGGGCTTGGTGGCTCAGCCTGTAATCCCAGCACTTTGGGAGGCCGAGGCGAGTGGATTGTCTGAGCCTGTGGGTTCGAGACCCGCCTGGGCAACTTGGTGAGACTTCATCTCTACAATAAGTTTAATAATTAGCCAGTTATGGTAGCGCAGGCTTGTAGTTCTGGCTACTTGGAAGGATGGCTGGAGCCCAGCAAGTCAATGCTGGGGTGTCTGTGAGTGTGCCACTGCCCTCCAGCCTGGGCAATGGAGTGAGACTCAAACTCAAAAAAAATAGAAATAAAGATACATTAAAAAAAATAAAAGAGGACTACTGATAAGTGTTGAAGCTGAGTGATGAAAATATGGAACTCATTTTACTATTCTAATAAAAATGTTAAAGTGAAATTAAAATCCTATTTTTAATGCTTTTTGTATTCTACTTTATTTTTGTATCCTTTAATAATGTGTATACAGTAGAATATCTTGTCATTTTTAGATACTGTTTCTTCTACTCCATACTACCAGTTTTTTTTTTTTCTTTTTGGTGTTGTATCATTGTTTGGGAACTCTTGACTTCCTTTGTGAAATTATGCTTTATGAAATGACTTCCAGGATTCATTTGTAGGCTTCTAAAGATCATCTGTTTTCCATTGATGTCAGTTTCCATGTGCCATTTATTATGTTATGTTGTTTCACTGTTTTTGTTGAGTTGGAGTCTCACTCCGTTGCCCAGGCTGAAGTCCAATGGCACGCTCATGGCCACCTCAGCCTCAACCTGCTGCGCTCAAGCGATCTTTCAGCCTCAGTCTTCCAAGTAGCTGGAACTATGGGCACACGCTATTATGCCCAGCTAATTTTTTGATTTATTGTAGAGCCAAGATCTCACCAAGTTACCCAGGCTGGTCTTGAACCCCTCAACTCAGGCAATCCTCTCACCTCGGCCTCACAAAGTGCAGGGATTACAGACTTGAGCCACCGTGCCCAGTCTTGTTTCTGTTTTATTTTGTTTTTTAAGAAACAAAGTCTCTGTGTTGCCCAGGTTGGTCTCAAACTCCTGGCTTCAAGCAGTCCTCCCACCTCAGCCTCCCAGAGTGCTGGGATTACCGGCTTGAGCTACCACACGTGACCTTACAGATTTGTTTTATCCATTTGAAAAAGTGAAGTAACCTGAGAAGATTCATTCGTGTTTAATATACAAATCTTACCAAAAGAAGAAATATTGTTGAATGATATATTCTGTGTTCATAGTGTTAATCTCTTCTCTCTCACTTTTAAATTTAGTTCTATTGTTTCCACTCTGCTAGCTCTTATGGATGGATTGGACAGCAGAGGGGAGATTGTGGTCATTGGAGCTACCAACAGACTGGATTCTATAGACCCAGCTTTACGGAGACCAGGCCGCTTTGACAGAGAATTCCTTTTTGGCCTACCTGATAAAGATGTAAGAATTTAACGTCACTCTGATTTTGACAAAATATGCGTTGCTTTTTTTTTTTGAGTTGGAGTCTCACTCTGTCACCCAGACTGGGGTGCAGTGGCCACTCCCAACCACCGCAGCTTTGACCTGCTGGGCTCCGGTGATCCTTCCGCCTCATCCTTCCAAGTAGCTGGAACTACAGGTGTGCGCTACCATGCCCAGCTAATTGTAAAGCCCAGATCTCACCAAGTTGCCCAGGCAGGTCTCGAACCCGCGGGCCCAGACAATCCACTCACCTCAGCCTCCCAAGGTGCGGGATTACAGGCTGAGCCACCGAGCCTGGCATGTGTTGCTTTTTATCATTAACAAGTCTTGGTACAGTAAAAATTTGGAAATTCTTGAGTTTCGTATCATGATCTTGTCAAGTGGTAATTGATAGTGAAAAATTCAAATGGTGACAGATATTTGTTCTCTTCTTTAAATATGATAATGCCTTCCTAAAATTCCTGTTAAATGTCTTCCAATTTGAGCATTGTCTTTGGATATTGTAAGTTTTGCTTCAGAACATGTGACTTAATGTCCTTAACCAGTTCATTAGCCTTGGCATTTTTATGAATACCTCTTAACCATCCCACCCAGTTTTTTTAAGTCTACTTAATCTTGAGAACCAGAGAAGAAAATATGGGTAGAGCGCTCTGTATTCTTAAAAACAGCACTTAATGTACACTAGAATGAAAAGCTACTCCCTTTGTTAATTAATTTCTCTGATTTACATTCATGGTCACTGTAACTTGAGTGCTAGATATGCGAATCTGTTTACTAACGAAACCAAGTTCCTTAGACTCTTAAAAATACGTTTTTTCTTGTGTTCACTATTTTATATTTCTGCTTGTATTAGGTACTGACTGCTTAATGTTTTCAGACAATAGTATCTTATGTGAGACTTATTCTTGTCATTGGCACTTACTGTTGCTGTGAAAACTTAATTGTCTGTATTCATAGGCTCGAAAAGAGATTCTGAAGATCCACACACGGGACTGGAACCCCAGGCCCTTGGGCGGGTTTCTAGAGGAGCTGGCGGAGAGCTGCGTTGGTGAGCATTGCTTTAGCAGTTATAAGAAATGCTACGTTTATTTCAAAGAGGTCACTTGAAAAGTTGTGGCTGTGCAACCCTCTTTCAGGACCCCTTCCGCTGCCAGGGTCTTTCCTGTCTCCTAATAAATTCCTACTTAGAAAAAAGAAAAAGATGTAGCTAAAGAAATACAAAGTTATATATATTTTTTATCTTCTTCGTGTTTTCTCACAGAATTCTGTATATTAAATAGATACTTTACAAATTGGCTATGAGGGGAGTTTGAGAGAGGGGTAGACAATAATAGTAAAATAGTATAGAATGCAATATTCTATTGTAATAATATAATAACTGTCCTGGCCAGGTGTGGTGTCTTACACCTATCATCCCAGCACTTTGGGAGGTAGAGGTGAGAGGATAGCCTGAGCCCAGAGATTCAAGACCAGCTTGGCGAGACCTTGCCTCTACAATAAATCAGAAAGTTAGTTGGGCATGGTGGCATGCACCTATAGTTTTAGCTTCTTGAGGGCTAAGGCGGAAGGACTGCCTAAGCCTAGCAGGCTGAGGTTGCAGTGTCTGTGCGTGTGCCGCTGCACTCTAGCCTGGGCGACAGAGCGAGGCTCTAGCTCAAGCATGTCAGTAATCAGAGCTGTCCTTATATTGACCTTTTCTAGTCATTCCGTTAAGCAATCCACACAGATGCTTTCACATGCTTCTCACCCCAGTCCTGTGAAGTCGACAGCATGATCTCCATTTTACAGATGAAGAAATGGCTGCAGAGCTTGTTTGAACCCCCAGAGATCAGAGCTGCAAACGAGAAATGGGAATTTGAACTTAGTCTGTGACTTTTAAACGCTTACTCTTGGCCCTTAGGCTGTGCTAGTGCTTGTCTGTTTCAGTCACAGAAGGTCGTTAATTTGTTGATGGCTCTTACCATAGAGGTTAAGTAGAAGAGACTCTGGTCTCGTTACTCTTAAATATTTTGTTAGGTTGCTTTTTAATTTTTTTTAAACTATGGCCATGCTAACGGGGTTGTGTGGTTTTCTTTGTTTGACTGTCTTGTTTTCTCTGCGCTTCCCCGGCTGCTTTGGGCAGGGTACTGTGGCGCAGATATTAAATCGATATGTGCCGAAGCTGCTTTATGTGCTCTGCGTCGACGCTACCCACAGATTTACACCACCAGTGAGAAACTGCAGCTGGATCTCTCTTCAATTAGTATCTCAGCCAAGGACTTTGAGGTAGCTATGCAAAAGATGGTACCGGCCTCCCAGAGAGCTGTGACGTCACCGGGACAGGCACTGCCCGCCATTGTGAAACCCCTCCTGCAAAGCACTGTTCACAAGATCTTAGAAGCCCTGCAGAGAGTATTCCCACATGCAGAGATCAAAACAAATAAAGCCGTAGACTCAGGTATAAAACGGACTGTTAAAGTTAGTTTTTATAATCAGTAAAGCAGAACATGTTTTATACATCCCAGATAATTGTTTTGTATAAGAGTCTCGTGAAAAGAATTTGGTTATGCTTTACCTGGGGTATTTGAAGGAAATTTACTCCACAGATTGTTTGTATGTAATATATTTAAAGTTTGGATACATTTTTATATTTACCTGTTAATTTGTATCTGCACAGATATTTTTGATTATTTAAAAAATTTTCATTGATGTGTACTGATTTGCTAGCTGAAGCATTAAAGATTTGCTTTGCAATCCAGAAAAGTTGCTAATGTACAGGTTTTTTTGGTTTTTTAGACATTTCTTGTTCTCTGCTAGAAAGTGACTTGGCATACAGCGATGATGATGCTCCATTGGTTTATGAAAATGGACTTTCTCAGAAGCCTTTTAATAAGGCAAAAGAGCATTTCAGTTTTCTTCATTTGAATAGGTATATTCTTGCACATTTTTGGGTTGGGGTTGTAAATTTCCTAAAAATAAGTGAGGTGTGGTTGAAAACCTAAGTGCTAACCAATCTGTTGCTTATTGACGTTGAAGCATCAGATATTTGTTGTTGTTACAGTGGTCACTATAGTAGAAATGAGACTGTATGAAAGCATTCCTAAAATGCTTTTAGGAAGAAGATACTTTCAAGGGGTCAGTTTTTTCCAGAAACTATGTGAACTGTGTTGTTACGATTGCCTTGACTATACGATTGCCTTCTGACTTACGAAGGTTCAAAATTGGGCCAGGCGTGGTGGCTCACACCTGTGATCCAGCACTTTGGGCAGCAGAGGCAAGAAGATTGCCCGAGCCCACAGGTTTGAGACTAGTCTGGGCAACCTGCTGAGAGCTAGTCTCTACAAAAAATCAGAAGATTAACTGGCCATGGTAGCATGCACCTGTAGTTCCAGCTACTTGGAAGGCGGAAGCAGAAGGATCGCCTGAGCCCAGCAGGTCGAGACTGCAGTGACTATGCGTGACTGTCACTGCGCTCCAGCCTGGGCAACAGAGTGAGACTCCAACTCAAAAAAATAAGAGTTTATAATTGGTCATTTGGGGGAAGCATTTAAACTTGTGGGGGTTTTGTTTGTTTGTTCCCTAAAACATAGCTTATTAAATCATTTATTTCAGAAATGCTTGTTGCCAACCCATATCTTTTCGACCAAGAATGTTGATAGTAGGAGAACCAGGATTTGGGCAGGGTTCTCACTTGGCACCAGCTGTCATTCATGCTTTGGAAAAATTGACCGTATATACATTGGACATTCCTGTTCTTTTTGGAGTTAGTGCTTCATCCCCTGAAGAAACATGTGCCCAGGTAATTCATTGATACCCAAACATGTAAGTTAGAAGACAAAGCCGTTTTCCAGAGACAAAAGTTAGAATTACCTTATTTTTTTGTTTTGTTTCGTCTTTCTGATTTCTAACTTCAGGTTTACAAAATTGAACTGTGCATAATTGTTTAGTCATTATAGAGTGTGTATTTAAATTCCAGATTCACCCTTAATATCTATGTGACCTTAACAAAGTTAGGAGATTTCTGTTTTGTTTTCCCATTTTGCAAAATATAGCACTTATATCATATGATTGTTGTAAGAATGAAATGAGTAAAGTGCTTAAAACAGTGACTGCTCTTTAGTAAGTACTCAGATATTAAAATTGTTTTAATTTAACAATAACTTGTGGCCAGGTGCAGTGGCTCACACCTGTATAATCCTAGCACTTTGGGAGGCTGAGGTGAGAGGATTGCCTGAGCCCACGGGTTTGAGACCAGCCTAGGCAACTTGGTGAGACCTCATCTCAACAAGAAAAAAAAAAAATTAGCTGGGTGAGGTAGCACATGCCTGTAGTTCCAGCTCCTTGGAAGGCTAAGGTTGAAGGATTGCCTAAGCCCAACAGTTTGAGGCTGCAGTGACTGTGAGAATGCTACTGCACTCCAGCCTGGGCAACAGTGAGACTGTGACTCAAAAAAATAAAAAATAAAAAATGTGTATTTATATATGTATTATATATGGTTATATGTATATTTTTGTTTAATTTGTTTACCATGACAGAAAAGTCTTCTAGATAGATCTCTTGAGCTGTTTTCTAGTTGCTTGAAGCAAATTATGTTTTCCCAAAAAAACAAAACTTTTACACAACACTTAAAAACAAGGTCGGGGGTTGGGGGAGACATTGTAGAAACATGGGGGCTGGCCAGGCTCTGGCCTGTAGTTTCAGCACTTTGGGAGGCTGAGGCGAGTGCATTGCCTGAGTCCGTGGGTTTGAGACCAGCCTGGGCAACGTGGTAAGACCTCGTCTCTACAATAAATCAAAAATTAGCTGGGCGTGGTAGCGTACACCTGTAGCTCCGTCTACTCAGAAGGCTGAGACAAAATGATTGCCAGAACTCAGCAGGTCGTTGCTGGATGGTGGTGAGTATGCCACTGCACTCCAGCCTGGGCAAGAGAGTGAGACTCCAACTCAAAAAGCCCACAAAAACCTGGGGGCTTTATATTAATTTATATTAATTCTGGGAGGTTAAACGTTGGTTCTGACTACCAGAGCTATCATTGCTAATGTGCTGACTCTCTAACAATTTGATTTTTTCCCCCTCTTTACTAGATGATTCGTGAAGCTAAGAGAACTGCGCCCAGCATAGTGTATGTTCCTCATATCCACTTGTGGTGGGAGATAGTTGGACCAACACTCAAGGCCACGTTTACCACATTGTTACAGAATATTCCATCATTTGCTCCAGTTTTACTACTTGCAACTTCTGACAAACCCCATTCTTCTCTGCCAGAAGAGGTGATTGATGGGGGGGAATCGTTATACTTTAGAAAGAGAGTTGTTTATACCAAAGTATTAGTAACTTATTGTAAAAATTCAAGTGCGGTGAAAGTGAATAGAAATGGTATCAAAGATACCTTTGTACAATATTTGTTATATGTGCTCATCAGGTGAGATGGTATGTGTATGTGTATATTAAGGGTACATTATAGATTCTCTTACATGAGTGGGATTATATGATACTTACTGTTCTGCAGTTTGCTTTTATTCACTTATCAATGTGTCTTATGTATTTGTCAGTCACAAAGTCTCCTATCTTTTAAGAGAGACATGGCTTTTTCCATTGTCTTTTTTTTTTTTTTTTTTCTTTTTGAGTCTGGGTCTCACTCTATCGCCTAGGCTGAAGTGCAGTGGCATGGTCACAGCTCACAGGAGCCTCGACCTAGCCTCACATACTCCTTCCAGCTCAGCCCTCCCCAGTAGCCAGGACTACAGGTGCTCACTGCCACACTTGGCTAGTTTTTAAATTTTTTAAAGTTTTTGTAGAGGCAGGATCTTGCTATGTTGCCCAGGCGGGTCTTGAACCCCTTGGCTCAAGCAGTCCTCTCTCTGGTCTAGGTTTCCCAAAATGCTGAGATGATAGGTATGAGCTGTCACCCCCTTCCTCCATTGTCTTGATGTGCCATAATTTATTAATCTAAGGCACTGGTGAAGGTTTTCTGGTTGTTGTCCAATTCTTTTTTGCTGAACTGCTACAGTAAGCATCCTTGGTTTTAATTTGTATGAATATTACTATGTGGAGTTTTCTAGCATTGATTGCTAGAGGTGGAATCGTTGTGTTTGAATCAAAAGAGTATTCACATTTACAGGTTTTATCAGTACCAGATTACTGTCCTTCAAGTTTGTGCCAATTTAGACAATTGCCAGTAGTGAACAAAAGTTCATACTGCTTCTGCCCGGAATGCTCTTTTTCTACATACTTGCCTGATGTTGGTTTTGTTTTTTGTTTTTGGGGGGTTTTTTTTGAGTTGGAGTCTCATTCTGTCACCCAGACTGGAATGCAGTGGCCGCTCCCAGCCACCACAGCCTCAACTTGCTGGGCTCCGGCGATCCTTCTGCCTCAGCCTTCCGAGTAGCCGGAATTACAAGCATGCACTACCACACCCAGCTGATTTTTTGATTTATTGTAGAGATGAGGTCTCGCCAAGTTACCCAGGCGGGTCTCGAACCTATGGGCTCAGGCGAGCCACTCAACCCGGCATGTTTTCGGTTTTTGTTTTTACTTATCATTGCGAAATCCCTTGTGGTTCTCTCTTTGTCTCAGACTTCTCTCAAATGTACCCTGATCATTTTCTCAGTGACAGCAGTCGCTCCTCCAGTCCCATGACCCCCTTTTCTGTTCCCTGGTCATTGTTATTTTACTTGCCATTCAGTACAAATTTGCGTGACTGTATCTCTCCTGCCAGAACCGGTAGAAATGAAGCAGTCAGGGTCTGGTTTCTTCATCTCTCATGTCAGAGGCTTCTGTGTTTTTATGTTAATGAATGAATTTAATCAGTATTTTTTCACACCTTTGACAAAATTGGTTTGCACAGGATTTTGGGGGGGGGGGTTTTGTTTGTTTTTGTTTTTTGAGTTGGAGTCTCACTCTGTCGTTTAGACTGGAATGCAGTGGCACGCTCCCTACCACCGCAGAATCGACCTGCTGGGCTCCGGTGATCCTTCCGGCTCAGTCTTCCAAGTAGCTGAAACTACAGGCACGTGCTACCATGCCCGGCTAATTTTTTATTTATTGTAGAGATGAGGTCTCATCAAGTTGCCCAGGCGGGTCTCGAACCCACGGGCTCAGGCAATCCACTCACCTCGGCCTCCCAAAGTGCTGGGATTGCACGCTGAGCCACCAAGCCTGGCCGGTTTTTTGTTTTAAATAGAGACAAAGTCTTGCTGCGCTGCCCAAGCTGATCTCAAACTCACGAACTCAAACATTCTTTCCGCCTCAGCCTCCCAAAGTGCTGGAATTATAGGTGTGAGCCACCACATCCAGCCAGTTTGCAGTTTTTAAAACATTAGTATAAACTCAAACACTTATTGAAGATATATTTATGGAATGCTTACTCTCTGCCACACATGGTTCTAGGCACAGTTAATAATATCGACAAAAATATGTATCCTCATATATATATGGGACTAACATCTTAGTTGAGAGGGAGACATAAATAAATATGTTTCTAAAATATAGTTACTACTGTTATCAAGAAAAATTTAGCTAAAGAATGCCCAAAGAGTATGAGTACAGTCACAATGTTATATGTAATGCCTCAGTAAGAAATGACACCCTAACGCCAGGCTCCATGGCTCAGCCTGTAATCTCACGCCTTGGGAGGCTGAGGTGAGTGGATTGCCTGAGCCCGCGGGTTCAAGACCCACCTGGGCAACTTGGTGAGGCCTCATCTCTACAATAAATCACAAAATTACCCAGGTGTGGTAGTGCGCACCTGTAGTTCTAGCTACTTGGAAAGCTGAGGCAGAAGGATTGCCGGAGCCCATCAGGTCGAGGCTGCGGTGGCCAGAAGCAGCCACTGCACTCCAGTCTGGGCAACAGAGTGAGACTCCAACTCAAAAAATAAAAAAAGCCAGGCTCGGTGGCTCAGCCTGTAATCCCATGCCTTTGGGAGGCAGAGATGAGTGAATTGCCTGAGCCCGCAGGTTCGAGATCCACCTGGGCAACTTGGTGAGACATCATCTCTACAGTAAATCAAAAATTAGCCAGGTGTGGTAGCGCACGCCTATAGCTCCAGCTACTTGGAAGGCTGAGGCGGAAAGATCGCCGGAGCCCAGCAGGTCGAGGCTGCAGTGGCCAGGAGCGTGCCGCTGCCCTCCAGCCTGGGCGACAGAGTGAGACTCCAACTCAACAAAAAAAGGAAATGACACCCAGCTCTTTGAGAGGCCAGGAGTTCCAGACCAGCCTGGGCAATGTAACAAGGTTGTATCTACAAAAAAATTAAAAATTAGTCAGATGTGGTAGTGTGTACCTGTAGTCCTAGATACTTGGGAGGCTGAGGTGAGAGGATCACTTGAACCCAGGAATTTGAGACTGTGGCGAACTATTATCATATTATTACACCACTGCACTCCAGCCTGGGTGACAGAACCAGACCCTGTCTCACACACACACAGAAAAATGACATTTGAGGAAAGATTTGAGAAAGTAATGAACCAGTGAAGCATCTGAGGAGCAGAAGATCCTGGCAGAGGCCCTCTGAGGCTGAACTGTGTCTGGCATGTTGGAGAGCTAGGAAAAAGGGCAGGTGATGGAGAGGGCGGAAGCTAGCACAAGGCCAGGGCGATGGAGAGGGCAGGGGCAAGGGAGTGCAGGAGGAAGTGTGCTCACTCTGCAGACATTCAGGCTAAGAGGCTTTCTCGTTTCGTCGTATCGTCTTCCAGGTTGCTTTCATTCCCTCCACATTCCACTGGCCAGAACTCAGTCACATAGCCATACCTCCCTGTGAGGGAGGCTGGAAAATAGGACGTCTCTGTGTGCCCAAAAGATGAGCATGTGGGTGCTGGTAATGACAGGCTTTGTTACCCATCACACTAGTTGTCATTGCAACGTTCTAGTCACTCTCCTGAATGTGTTTCTCTTTTTTTTTTTTTTTTTTTTTTTTTGAGTTGGAATCTCACTCTGTTGCCCAGACTGGAGTGCAGTGGCCACTCCTGCCACTGCAGCCTCGACCTGCTGGGCTCCGGCGATCCTTCTGCTTCAGCCTTCCAAGTAGCCGGAATTACAGGCATGTGCTACCACACCCGGCTGATTTTTTGATTTGTTGTAGAGATAAGGTCTCGCCACCCAGGTGGATCTTGAACCCGTGGGCTCAGGCAATCCACTCACCTCAGCCTCCCAAAGGTGCAGGATTACAGGCTGAGCCACCGAGCCTGACTCATTTTAACCATTTTTAAACATACAATTCAATGACATTAAGTACATTAACAGTGTTGACCAACCATTACCACTATCTGTTTTCAGAGGTTTCTTATCACGGGCAAAAACTCTGTGCCTACCAAATAATAACTCCCCATTCTTTTCTTGCCCACCCCATGATGATAGCAACCTCTCACACTATCTGTCTCTTTGAATGTATTTTAGGTACTACATATCATATTGTCTTTTGTGTGTGTCGTGTTTTGCTTAGCATAATGTTTTCGGAGTTCACCTTTGTCGTACCTTGTGTCTGAATTTGATTCCTTGTAGAGTTGAATAATGTTCCATTGTATGTATACACCACATTTGTTTATTCATTTATCTGATGATGGACATTTGGGTTGACTTCACCTCCTAACTTTTGTAATGCTGCTATGATTATTGGTTTACAAATATTGGTTTGAATCTTTGTTTTCAGTTCTTTTGGGTATATACCTAGAAATGGAATTGCTGGGTCACATGCTAATTTTTTTTTTGAGTTGGAGTCTCTCTCTTTGTTGTCCAGGCTGGAGTGCAGTGGCACGTTCACAGCCACCGCAGCCTCAACCTTCTGGACTCAGGCGATCCTTCTGCCTCAATCTTCCAAGTAGTTGGAACTAGAGACTCGTGTCACCACATCTGGCTAGTTTTTGTGATTTGTTGTAGAGATGAGGTCTCACCAAGTTGACCAGGTTGGTCTTGAACCCCCGGGGTCAGGCCTTCCAAAGTGCTGGGACTACAGGCTGAGCCACTGTACCCGGCCCATTTTACATTCTTTTTTTTTTAAGATTGGAGAATATAGTTTATTTAGAAAGTAAATTAGAGAGACAGAGAGGAGATTCACCTTCCTGAGGTAAAGGAGGAGCCAAAGCTTAAGGAAGCATGACCTGACCACCGCTCAAGTACGTGGCCACACCGTAGCTTAGCCAGGCCGTGGCCCCGTTTTACCTTCTTGTGAGCAGTCCATGAGGCCTTCGACTGCTCCATATCCTTGCAAACACGTTTTCCACCTTTATGTCTTTTGAACAAATGTTCTTTACAATATCTCATGGCTCACTTTGAGTTGTAAGCGTGAATTCACTGGTCTCAGAAAGCCCTTATTATCATGTCGGTGCCTTTATTGATTTAGTTTGAGTTCTTGAGTTTTAAAGATCTCGTGACTTTTAGTTCCTCTTCTATTATAAACATGGTTTATACATAAATTCAGCATTCCTAAAACACTTACTTAAAAAAATAACCTCTTTGCCAGGTTCGGTGGCTTTGCCTATAATCCCATGCCTTTGGGAGGCAGAGGTGAGTGAATTGCCTGAGCCCACAGGTTCAAGATCCACCTGGGCATCTTGACGAGACCTCATCTCTACATAAAATCAAAAATTAGCCAGGCGTGGTAGCACGCTCCTGTAGTTCCAGCTACTTGGAAGGCTGAGGCGGAAGGATCGCCGGAGCCCAGCAGGTCGAGGCTGCGGTGGCCAGGAGCGTTCCACTGCCCTTCTGCCTGGGTGAGGGAGTGAGACTCTAACTCAAAGATAGATAGATAGATAGATAGATTCATTCATTCTTGATATAACTTAGATTGTCATTAAAAATATGTGTATTAAAACCCATTAGTATATTAAATGCTTGGTGCATGCATTTCATATCCATTTGTGTGTGTGTGTGTGTGTGTGTGTGTGTGTGTGTGTGTATGCTGCATATGTGTATATGCTGCTTAGAGATGCTGCTGGATTTTTGAGGACTTGGATTTTTGGTTTGTTTTGGACATGACCCTGCCGTCGGTCGGGGGTTGTGCCGGATGCACAGTGCTTGCACACCACTGTAAAGTCTAAACCTTGTGAGTCGGGGACTGTCCATATATACCTCATATATTGCATTTCTTTTCTTTCTTAAGGTGCAAGAATTGTTTGTCCGTGGCTATGGAGAGATTTTTAATGTCCAGTTACCGGGTAAAGAAGAACGTACAAAATTTTTTGAAGATTTAATTCTAAAACAAGCTGCTAAACCTCCTGTATCTAAAAAGAAAGCAGGTTAGTTTCTGTATCAAGGTTATTTAAGAACGTTGAAGAAGGGGTAATAAAATACCAGTTAATGGTATTGATATCTGTCTAATAACAGTCATGAGTGTGATGCATGCATCGCCTAAAAATGCGTTCTCCCCATGAAAATGGACCGCGCTCTTACGGTGCGCAAGGTCTCCCTTCCAAGCTCGTCCTGAGCACTCTCTTCTTCCAGAGTGCTCTGACCACCCATCCCTCTTCCCACTCTTTGCCTTTCTGTCTCTGTCCCCATCTCCGTCCTTCTGGTAGACCTCAGTTTTTCTTTATTATGAAGCCTTTCCTAACTTATCTAGGAAATTGTGTCTGCCTTTATGACCCATCATACTTGTTCTGTCCTAGTGTGACCTCGCAGCAATATACTCATGCCTCTTACTCCCTTAATAGATGGCGAGCTTATTGAGGCAGAACTTTCATATCCTTTTTTTATCCTGAGTAGTCAGGTATCTATTTAAACAAGATTAAACATTGATTATATTTAAAACCTGCTACAGTTTTTCATTTGTTCAAAAATTAGCTAGTAAAGAAGACCTTTTAATAATTCAAATCTTTTTATCCTGGAAACAATGCATTTTCAATTGCCTTAAAGCTAATAACTTGTGGGAATTAGCATTCCAAACAACAAGTTACTAATCATTTCCATAGGGTCAGAGGTGAAGATGGTAGTACTTTTGTGTTCCCAGTCCTTGGATTCCTGGCAGATGTAAGGAAGGTAACCCCTTAAAGCCATATGCTATGTGCACTGACTCATTCATCCCCCTTAGTATTATGGAGGAAGAGTATCTAGAACCTTCTATCCCTGTGAAGTTTTGCAGGCCTTAGAGGTACTCCCAGTGGCACCACCACCTGAGCCAAAACCACTGACAACAGAAGAAGTAGAACGGCTGGAAGAGCAAGAAGAAGACACGTTTAGAGAACTGAGGATTTTCTTAAGAAATGTTACACACAGGCTTGCTGTTGACAAGCGATTCCGAGCCTTCACGAAGCCTGTGGACCCTGATGAGGTATTTAATCTTCGGATCAAATGTATTCTAGGCCATAATGCTTCAAAATCAGGGACTACTTGAAGAGCTTATATAGTTCTCTGTCTGTACTCTGAATGCGTTTTCTCTTTATGGACACATGTCCATATAGACATAGTGATAGAGATAGTGTCCTAAGCACATGGAGACTTGAAGAGCTATATAGCACCTTTCCTTTCTGCAGGCAGCTGTGTCTGCCTAACCCCAAGCATTGTAGAAGTACTTTGGGAATGTCCTTTTAAATTTTATTTGTGTTTTGTTTAGAGACATGGTCTCACTCTCTTGCCCAGGCTAGAGTATAGTGGTGTGTGACTGTAGCTTACTGCAGCCTCGAATTCCGGGGTTCAAACCATCCTCCAACCTCATCCTCTCAGAAAGCTAGGACTACAGGTGTGTGCCGCCACACCTGACTGATTTTTTAAAAAGGTTTTGTAGAGACAAGAGTCGGTCTTGCTATGTTGTACTAACTAGTCTCAAACTTCTGACCTTAAGCAGTCCTCTTGCCTTGGCCTCCAAAGTGCTGGGATTACAGACATGAGCTCCCATGCCCAACTGAGAATGTCCTAGTGCCACATAATAATACCCTGACCCATACAGTTGGAAGTCAGCTGAAATGCCAGGTCTTAAGTTGCCATGGAAGAATGGGTGGCAGTTGGGTAAGGAGAGAATATGGGATGTCACCAGAGAAGGCAGCTGTGCAAGTATAAGAGTAAAAAGAGTAAATGCAGACGCAGTGAGCCTCAGGTAGAAAGAGACAAAGGTTTCATGTTAATAGTCATCATGATCTCTTATACTTTCATTCTCTATCCCCAGATGGCCTGGCAGAGAAACTTAACTTGATGTTTCTAACATTTAGAGCTAACTTAGTGATTTGCACATTTTAGGTTCCTGATTATGTCACTGTAATAAAGCATCCAATGGACCTTTCATCCGTCATCAGTAAAATTGATCTACACAAGTATCTGACTGTGAAAGACTATTTGAGAGATATTGATCTCATCTGTAATAATGCTTTGGAATACAACCCAGACAGAGACCCTGGAGGTGAGCGCTCATGAGTTGCTTTCAGGAGGTGGAGTGGGGACAGCTAGTACTGAATGGGGGTTGATTTTTATGTCGGATGATATTCTACAAGCATTTTGCAGTCCCAGTGCTATTTAATTCTTGCAACAACCTTAGCCCAATTTTACAGCTGGTGAAGATGAAGTTTAGAGTGGTTAAAGACCTCGCTCAAGATCACACTGCCAGGAACAGGCAGGGGCAGAATTTGAATTTCACACCCAAATCCCTGTTTTGTTTTTATTGTTATTTTTTGAGTTGGAGTTTCACTCCGTCGCCCATGCTGGAGTGCAGTGGCACACCTACGCCCACCCCAGCATCGACCTGCTGAGCCCAGGTGACCCTTTCACCTCAGCCTTCCAAGTTGCCGGAACTACAGGCACATTCTACCATGCCTGGCTAATTTTTTGATTTATTGTAGAGACAAGGCCTCGCCAAATTGCCCAGACTGTTCTCAAACCTGTGGGCTCAGGCAGTCCCCTCACCTCGGCCTCCCGAAGTGCTGGGATTACAGACTTGAGCCACCACGCCTGACCCCTGTTTATTAACAATTGGGACAGAATGACTTGTTTATTACTTTGTATATCTGTGTTCTTTCTCAAAGTGGAAAAACAGACACTCTGAAATCAAATAGGTTTAAAAGTATTTTATTAGTTAAGACCATTACAATTTTTATTATGAAAGTAATATATAGTATAATGATTGCTAATAGTAATATTTTTTAAAAACCAGAGTCTTTCATTTTCTTTCTTCAAAGGTGGGCACTGTTGAGTTTGGGGCTGTCTTTCCAAATCTTTTTTCTACTCTCACCTGTCCCTCAATCAATACAATTGAATGGGTAATGTACGTTACCTTATAAGCCTGCTTCACTATGCAATCTATGCATTTAATAGAATTATACTTACACCCATAAGTTTACACAAATTTTATAAATAAAATTTTATGAAGGATTTTTAATTGCTTGTTCTACAACTTATTTCCAAAAAATGTTCTTTCTCAGGTGCTTAGTTTATTTTTTTCTAGCTTTCTACTCTTGTTTTATGAATGTAGTGTTCTTTATCAGTGAATAAAAAATATATTTTCTTTTCTTTCTTTCCTTTTTTTTTTTTTGAGTCAGAGTCTCACTCTGTCACCCAGGCTGGAGTGTAACGGCACACTCATGGCCATCCCAGCCTCGACCTGCTGGGCTCAGGTGATCCTCTTGCTTCCAAGTAGCTGGAACTACCACCACCCCGGGTAATTTTTTGATATATCATAGACACGAGGTCTCGGCAAGTTGCCCAGGTTGGTCTCTAACCCCTGGGCTCAGGCAGTCCTCTCACCTCAGCCTCCCAAAGTGCAAAAAAATACATTTTTTTTTTTTGAGTTTGAGTCTCACTCTGTCACCCAGACTGGAGTGCAATGGCCGCTCCCGGCCACCGCAGCCTCGACCTGCTGGGCTCCAGCAATCCTTCCACCTCAGCCTTCCAAGTGGCTGGAACTACAGGTGTGCGCTACCATGCCCAGCTAATTTTTGATTTATTGTATAGATGAGGTCTCGTCAAGTTACCCAGGCGGGTCTCGAACCCTTGGACTCAGGCAATCCACTCACCTCGGCCTCCCAAAGTGCTGGGATTACAGGCTAAGCCACCGAGCCCGGCTAAAAATACATTTTTAATAGGTCTGTTTTCTGCATTTTTTCCTCAAGTACATTGACTTTCTGTTTTTAAATTAATGGTGCTTATACATTTTGCATTAGCATAGGGAGCTGTTGAGAGTTTCCTCAACAATTAAAGAACTCACTGTTCCTCCCCTCCCAGTCCTGTACCTGCTCTTCAGATTTCTGGTGGGAAGCAGGCTAGCAAGCGGGCACCCTTAATTGTGGGAAGAAGGGTGCAGGTATCCTGGAGGCTCAGGGCTTTTTCTGACCCATTGAAATCATGCTGCTGAGAGTGATTATTGCATCCTGTTGTTCTGTGAGGGACATTGGTCTGTCAGTTCACACAGTCTTGCATTCTTTTATTACCTGTGTTCTGCTTCAAAACATTTTCCAGTTTACAGCACTCATACTCTGAGCTTAATAACTTTTCCAGTGTTTCCTATGTAGGTTTCCTTGTCTGCTTAGTTTCTCTGTCAGTGCAATAACGTCCACTGTATCTCTTGCAAACTTCTTCACATTTTTTGTTACTAATGACACTAATAGTCTTCCCGTTTGTTTTTTGTTATCATCATTGTTTAGTCTCTTTCTATTGACTGATCCTTTTTTTCCTGACATTTCAAAGAGATCCATACAGGTCAGAGCAATAAAATTGTTTGGGTTTAGTCTGCCATATTACATCAGATGTCCAGAACATTAGATTAGCACCAAAAAGAGGACAGCACAATTCCAGTAATTTTTATTGTTTATTGTAAAAGTAAAAAGGAGTTGTAAGGACTACTGTCTTAGCCCAAGCTATTGAGTTTGCTTCTGGTATATTACTGACGGGGAAATTAAGAATTGTGGAATTTTTAACTCATTTCACAGATCGCCTTATTAGGCATAGAGCTTGTGCTTTAAGAGACACTGCTTATGCCATAATTAAAGAAGAACTCGATGAAGACTTTGAGCAACTTTGTGAAGAAATTCAGGAATCTAGAAAGAAAAGAGGTAGGAAAGTAATTTGGCATCAGAAAAATATGCTTTTGTGTTTTTTTGGTTTTTTTAGCTTTTTTTTTTTGTTTTTGCATTGGAGTCTCGCTCTGTCACCCAGGCTGGAGTGCAGTGGCACACTCACACCCACACACAGCAGCTTTGACCTGCTGGGCTCAGGTGATCCTTCCACCTCAGCCTTCAGGTAGCTGGAACTACAGGTGTGCACCACTATGCCCACCTAATTTCTTGATTTATTGTAGAGATGAGGTCTCGCCAAGTTGCCCAGGCTGGTCTTGAACCCATGGGCTCAGGCAGTCCTCTCATCTCGGCCTCCCAAAATGCTGGGATTATAGGCGTTAACCACTGCACCCAGCCTGCTTTCGTGTTTTGAGTACTTTTTCTTAATGTAATTTTGAAACCTGAAAGTCCCTTTTGACATCTCACATCTCTATTTATAAGGTTGTAGCTCCTCGAAATATGCCCCATCTTACTACCACGTGATGCCAAAGCAAAACTCCACTTCTGCTGGTGACACAAGGTCAGACCTAGAGCAGAACGTGAAGCTGAAGCCACCCAGTGCTCCCATGGCGTGCAGTACCCCTGGTGAGTGGCGGGAGAGCCTCACATGGGAATGTGACCCTTCTCTGCCTGTGTCATCTGCTTCATACCTCCGTTTCCTTATTTCTACTGATACCGTGAATTGCACTGGTTTTGTGACTATTGAGACAACTTTGCATTCCTGAGATAAATCCAAGTTCATTATGTTCCACTTGCAGTCCCAGCTCACCATCCAGTTGTGGGTTGACATGATTTGAAGCTGATGTCTGTGAGTTCTGGTCTGTTTCCTGTTCCTTCTTATTCTTAGTACGTAACTGTATAGAGCACCAACCCAAAGCTTGTGGAGATTTTCAAGGCCTACCTTCTTGGCAGTCTCTTATTTCCAATTTTTGTTCTTTAACCCCCACCAGTGTCAGGCTCTGCTCAGCCTGTTACTCATTTGTTTTCCGGGATTTTGCCAACAATTTCTCACTGCCTTGTCAGATCTCTTCTTGGTTGGGGGAAGGGGTTGCTGAGGTGTGAACCTTCCCTTATGGTATGGCAAACATGTGTATCCTCAAATGGGTGACTGAGATGATAGGTCAAGAGCAAGCTGTTCTTTTAAAAACATGAATGGCAGCAACTGGGAAAAGAGGATGACAGAAGAATGTCAAGAGACCTCCACCCCAGCATGTTCTTGGTCAGCTCAACTTTATTTATTTATTTTTTGAGTTGGAGTCTCACTCTGTCACGCAGATTGGAGTGCAGTTTGGCATGCTCCCGGCCACTGCAGCCTCGACCTGCTGTGTTCCAGTGATCCTTCTGCCACAGCCTTCCAAGTAGCCTGAACTACAGGTGCGTGCTACCACGCCTGGCTAATTTTTTTATTTATCATAGAAACGAGGTCTCACCAAGTTACCCGGGTGGGTCTTGAACCTGCAGGCTTAGGTAATCCACTTACCTCGGCCTCCCAAAGTGCTGGAATGACAGGCTAAGCCACCAAGCCCGAACAATCAGCTCAACTTTAAGCAAGTATGTATATGGACATGGACATTTAGGGCGTGGAAGTTTCCTTCCTTAAAACAATTCCTAGCTATATGCCCAATAGAATTGTATATGTTATGTCCACCAAAAGACACATACAAGATTATTCAAAGAAGCAGTAATAGCCCAACCCTGGGAACAACTTGTGCCCACCAAGAAAAATATGGAGTAGTACAACACACAGTGAGATTGATTAGACTTCAACTAATGCAGTGGCCTGGATCAATCTCCCAAAAGATGTTGAGTGAATCCTAGACATACTTTTAGATAGGATACAAAGTTTTTAGATATATATTTTTATTTGACATGCATATGAAGTCAAAAATGGGTAAAACTAATCAGTGGTGCTAGAAATCAAGGTATTGTTTACCTTAGGATATTGTGACTAGAATCAGGGTAACTTCAGGGTGTTGTTAGTACATGTTCTGTTTCTTGATTTGGGTGCTGATTACTTGGGTTTCTTCAGTTCGTAGGTCTTTACTGTCTGTGTTTCTTGAGTACAGCTGACCCTTGAACTGAGTGGGTTGAAATTGCACAAGTTCACTTAGGTGCAGATTTTTTTCAGTAAATATAGTGGAAAGATTTTTGTAGATTTGCAACCATTTGAAAAAACTTATAGATAGCCTGTAGCCTAGAAATAGCAAAAAAAACTTGTTTTGGTTTCTTTCTTTTTTCTTTCTTTTTTTTTTTTTTTTTTTTTTGAGTTGGAGTCTCACTCTGTTGCCCATAATGGAGTGCAGTGGCCGCTCCCGGCCACCACAGACTCGACCTGCTGGGCTCCGGCGATCCTTCCGCCTCAGCTTTCCAAGTAGCTGGAACTACAGGCGCGTGCTACCATACCTGGCTAATTTTTTGATTTATTGTAGAGATGAGGTCTCACCAAGTTGCCCAGGCGGGTCTCGAACCCGCGGGCTCAGACAATCCACTCACCTCAGCCTCCCGAGGCGTGGGATTACAGGCTGAGCCACCAAGCCCGGCCTTTTTTCATTTTTTTGAGTTGGAGTCTCACTCTGTTGCCCAGGCTGGAGTGCAGTGACATACTGCTCACAGCCACTGCAGTCTTGACTTCTTGGACTCAGGTGATCCTTCCAAATACCTGGAACTACAGGCACCTGCCACCATGCCTAGCTAATTTTCGTTTTATAGTAGAGATGACGTCTTGCCAAGTTGCCTAGGCTGGTCTCAAACCTGTGGACTCAGGCAATCCTCTCTCCTCTCACCTCCCAAAATGCTGGGATTATAGGCATGAACCACTGCGCCTGGCTTGCAAAAAAATTTTTTTTTTTTTTTTTTG